GAGTCACACATGAATGTTTTCTGTGAGTCACACATGAATGTTTTCTGTGAGTCACACACATGAATGTTTTCTGTGAGTCACACATGAATGTTTTCTGTGAGTCACACATGAATGTTTTCCGTGAGTCACACATGAATATTTTCTGTGAGTCACACATGAATGCTTTCTGTGAGTCACACACATGAATGTTTTCTGTGAGTCACACATGAATGTTTTCTGTGAGTCACACATGAATGTTTTCTGTGAGTTACACATGAATGTTTTCTGTGAGTCATGGTTTCTGTGAGTCACACATGAATGTTTTCTGTGAGTCACACATGAATGTTTTCTGTGAGTCACACATGAATGTTTTCTGTGAGTCACACATGAATGTTTTCTGTGAGTCACACATGAATATTTTCTGTGAGTCACACACATGAATGTTTTCTGTGAGCCACACATGAATGTTTTCTGTGAGTTACACATGAATGTTTTCTGTGAGTCACACATGAATGTTTTCTGTGAGTCAAAGGTAAATACAATCATTTGACTAGATGCCTAGATGCAACAAAGACTATCTTGGACGGCTTTAGGTAGAAGCCTATGGCAGACCAGGACAATGTGGATGCCAGAGGCCGATAGCGTCTGCCGGATGGTAGGAACTCGAACAAATCATGCGTGGGATGAGACGTGTCAGCAATGATTCGTTAGGCTTGCTAGTCCAGGCATTTCCAGTACACATCATATAGAGCGTTAAGTTGGATCCCAATAATACGCGACATGCTCGGCACCACACCGTACAGGAGTCTTCGTAACTAATGTTACCAAACCACACCGTGATAGAGAGCATCAAGATACTCTCGATCATGGAGTGGTAGAATTTAAGCAGCAGAGCTGTCTGCAAATGAAAGCTTTTCAATCTTCAATCATTCGTGATGCAGTGTCTGAGATGCGCCAACCAGGTCAAGTTGCTGGATATGTGGACACCGAGAAACTTGAAGTAGTTAACACGCTCCACCTCCGAGCTGTCAATGACCAATGGAGAGATCTGCGTCTTTTATCAACAGAAATTGGCAACTCTCTCCTATGTTTTGGCCACATTCAGCTTGAGGTTGGTCTCAGCACACCACACAACCAGCTCGTCGACCTGGTGTGTTAATCTGCACCTCGAATTAACCCAGCGACGGTTGTGTCATCATTTTACATTTAATTTTTTTTCACTGCGAGATATGCAATCTGACGTCATCAAAGAATAGAGGAAGGGGCTCAATACACAGCCCTGGGGCACTCCTGTGTTCAAGGTCATTGAGCCTGAAAACTATGTGCTGATTTTCACAACCTGGGGTCGCTGTGTCCAAGACCTATTCACAGATACTCTATGGGAACCCTAGATTTACATTTTGGTAAATAATTTCTTAGGTAAAATCGCATAGGGTGAACATTTCGAATCAAGATATTTTAGTACATTGTATAAAGTAAGGGAAACTGCGTCGTCTACCGACCTGTTCTCTCTGTAGGCAAATTGAAGCGAGTCCAGCGTGATCTCTTATGAGGTAAACATAAGATATCCCAAAGAAAAAGGTGGATTACCGGTATGTGCGAAAGGAAACAATCATGGTAGATTACAGTGTTACAGTTCTTCCTGGTAGTATGATGGATGTGTATATGTGCGACATAATGTACAGTTTGATGTGATCAGTCAAGGCATGTCAGAGATATGGTTCTTGAACTGCATTGGCTAAAACAAAATGGCCACTAGTCAGCGCCATTTTGAATCTGATTTGAAAAATAAAATAACATCAAAAACTCCATATTTTCAATAGACACACAAAGTTTAAAGCGCTACAGTTGGTGCTCAGTGCGTGCTCAAATTTTGTGGAAATAAACAATGTATTTTACATGTGTTGTATACATCATTATAGGTCCCATATCAAACATGAAACAACGAGTGTAGCACTTTAAACGAAATGTGTCCATGAGATCTTATTTAGGAATGGCAGAAATGCATGATTTTGGTGAACTTTTAGCACTAATATGGCTGCCATTCAGCTGTCTTAAATTGGATAATTAAACATACATATGATGTGATGTGAAGTTTAAACCCAGGAGAAAAATATACCGATAAATCTTCATTTTTAGACCTGTATCCAAATGGGAACTAAAATTAAGCAAATATGTGTGTTCATTGATTTTGAAAAACAAATTGACCAGAAACTTTTTTCCTGAGTCTAAACTTATCTAAATTATAACAATCTGTTCTGTCATAATCTAGTTTGTATCAATCTGATTTGAAGCAACAAGGACAAAAAAAATCTTACATTTATATGTTTCTCTTTGGAAGACATTGTCTTTGACAAATGAAAATAGTGGTTCATCAGCTTTATCCTGCCTGCCGTCTAAATGCACTCGAGTTTTACCCTGCAGGTCGATGGCATAGTCCTCACCAGGTGTCAAACTGCCTTCATCAACATCCCATAATTTTCTGATGATGTCATTGAGTTCAGGATCAGTTTCAAATCTAGTAAGATGTATAAGTAGTACATGTTATACAGCAAAATTAGTCAAAAAATGTCTGTTTACTTTTATACGAGTTACATCAATAGAGAAGGTAATAGAATATGATGCTAAGTTCATGCTTCAGTTAAAAGAGGTATCCAGTTTAGACAGGGGTTGGTTTAAATTGGTTGTCGGTTTACACAGTGTTCAGTTTAGACAGGGGTTGGTTTAAATTGGTTGTCAGTTTACACAGTGTCCAGTTTAGACAGGGGTTGGTTTAAATTGGTTGTCGGTTTACACAGTGTTCAGTTTAGACAGGGGTTGGTTTAAATTGGTTGTCGGTTTACACAGTGTTCAGTTTAGACAGGGGTTGGTTTAAATTGGTTGTCGGTTTACACAGTGTTCAGTTTAGACAGGTGTTGGTTTAAATTGGTTGTCGGTTTACACAGTGTCCAGTTTAGACAAGTTTCAAATTTACAAGTGTTCAGTTTAGACAGGTTTCCAATTCCCACATGGTTTGGTTTAGACAGGTTTCCAATTTACACATGGTTTGGTTTAGACAGGTTTCCAATTTACACATGGTTTGGTTTATACAGGTTTCCAATTTACACATGGTTTGGTTTAGACAGGTTTCCAATTTACACATGGTTTTATTTTGGACAGGTTTCCAATTTACACATGGTTCAGTTTAGACAGATTTCCAATTTACACATGGTTCAGTTTAGACAGGTTTCCAATTTACACATGGTTCAGTTTAGACATATTTCCAATTTAC